CCCCGCAGCCCAATCTGGGCTCCGGAGGCATTTTCCCGGCCATTGTGGCTCAGATCTGAGGCCGGGGAATGCTTCCATGCCCCACCCCCGAGGCCTGATCCAGGCTCCAGAAGTCTTTTTCAGGTCACTGCTGCCCGGATTTGAGGCCAGGGAACGCTTCCGCACCCTCCCACGGCCTGATCAGGCCTGGAAAACGCCTTCAGAGACTGAATCAGGCTGCAGGCGGTGGGGGCACAGAAGCATTCCCTGGCCTTAGATCCGGGTGGCAGCGGATTGGAAAATGCCTCCAGAGCCCGGATTGGGCTGCGGCAGGGCATGGAAGCGTTCCTCAGCCTCAGATCCAGGCCACAGCAGCCTGGAAAATGCCTCCGGAGCCCCATCCAGCCTCCGGAGGCACGTGGAAGCGTCCCCCAGCTCACCCCACTGATCTCACATGATCTTGCATTACTTTAGGCCTCTATTCTCTGCGAACACACTGAAGGCCTGGAGCAGCCAAGAAAGTGAAGGATCTTGACCTTTGTAGAGTAAGTACTGAAGGCCTGTTGCCTAGGCCCTAGGGAGACCCGGGGTGGGGAGGGAGGAAATAACCAGGGTGAATGTTGCAGAGCCACTGAAGTTGCTTGTAAGGGCGAACGACTGCCGTGGTGCTGCAATATTTGTAACTTCAGGACTTGCTTGAAGCACTAGGGGGCGCTCATCATGTAACTTTGAACGAGCATTAACTGAACGCTCGTAACTCGGGGATTACCTGTAGTTTTGTACATAAGACATCCATCAAATTAATCATGCTTCCTGAGTTACTTTGCAGACATTTGTTAGGTGATCTGAGAAATTTGGAAAAAATCATGCCTATCTTTCAAGGAAATTACAGAGCAGGAAAGAACCTTCAAATATATTTATTTGTATCTCTCTAACATTTGCGGGTGACTAACACAATTCACCTGCATAACACCCATAAAAAGTGATCACTTACGGTATTCACTGTTTTCATTTAGAATTTCTGCTTGGCACACAAGTTGGTCAACGAGAGTCCGTAAATTCAGAATTGTCGTCTCCATCTTTGTCACCTGAAACTGAAATAATTTGGAGATAAGTTTACTTTTGTCTTCTTTTTCTGTCAGGCACAGCAATCCTTGTCAATGATTTCAGATCTTCAAGTATAATCATGTAATGGGTTTATAACAAATGGTTATATGAATAACTCAGCCACTGATTCAATATTCACTTCTGTTTATGCCAAACTACATACCTGTTTTCTCTTTGAAACTAATATCAGAAATCTTGCAAAAATTATGAACAGTATACTTCAAAGCCATGTACAAAGAGATTCATCAAATTATATAAGCAAAATTTGGTTCCTTGCCAATGTAGGATTTACAGTTTGAAATAGGCAATAGGAGAGACTAATAGTCAGCAAAAAAAAAATGTAAATTGTCTTGTACAGTAGCTGGAAATGAAGATCTAGATACAATCCAATGATCTCTGATAAGTCTGAATGATTTATGTGAGATTGAATTTTTTCCCTCCTGAGGCTGGATAATAAGTTCAGACCTTGGAAAAACACAGAACTCTTCTTGTCTTTTAAAAAAACAACCTTAGGCATTGCATTTCTGACATAGGAGCTACCACATTTAATCAAAAAATATAGAATCCTTTCAGCTGCTCTAAACTTAAATCCCCAAACATCAAGAAAGGGAGAAAAAACACAACCAACTTTGTTCTTTCTTTCATTTAGCGGACAAGCCTCAGGGTACTTTAGACTCCTTGATATCTGAATATCTCTATAAGACACATAGTACTTCCACTGCAAAGCACAAAGCTTAAGGAATTAAGAAAGTAAATACTTACAAGAAAATATGAAGTAATAGATAATTCGGTTTAAAATAGAATGGACACAAAATATTTTAACAATGCTACCTGCTGCTTATAATGAATCTGGGTATCAACCTGTTTAAAATCTAAATTAAAATCTATAAATTCATACCACTGTAAGAACCACCTTTTAATAAACATTGTAATGTAAAAATCTGAAACCAACCTGATTCATTACATATCTTACATATTTGTATATTGCTATTAATACTTGTTATCACTACAATCCAGGGAAAATATAATTTCATTTTATGTCATGGAGAAGATATGGCCCCTTCTTCTGGAAAAACATCTAGGCATGAAACCTCATTACTTCAGCTAACAAAAACTGCTACCTTTTTGTTTCTGTTTTTCACTTTTTTGAACAAAAAGGTTTTAAAACTTAAAACAAACTTTTAACATTTCCATTTAAAAACCTGCTTGCAAAGCTTCATGCGGCAGATCTCAATTCAAGGTCTTAATTTTAACCTTTAAAGTCATACATGGCAGAGGGCCAAGTTACTTGCGGGATTCTCTCTCCCAGGTAACATCTACCTTTCCCATCAGGTCCAGAAGAAAGGGTATATTATGGGCCATGTCTGCTAAGAAATTCCATCTGACAAGATCCAGGAGGTGAGCTTTCTCTATTGTGACACCCTCCTATAACAACAGCACTTATATAGGTAGTCCTCGACTTACAGCTCATTTAGTGACCGTTCAAAGTTACAGTGGCACTGAAAAAAGCGACTTATGCTCATTTTTCACACTTATGACCATTGCAGCATCCCCATGGTCACGTGATCAAAATTCAGACGCTCGGCAACCGACTCATATTTATGACGGGTTCAGTGTCCGGGAGTCACATGATCACCTTTTTGCAACCTTCTAACAAGCAAAGTCAATGGGGAAGCCAGATTAACAACTATGTTACTAACAACTGCAGTGATTCACTTAACAACTGTGGCAAGAAAATGGGGCAAAACTCACTTAACAACTGTCTTGCTTTGCAACAGAAATGTGGGGCTCAATTGTAGTCTTAAATCGAGGACTACCTGTATACCACTCCATAATGCTTTATAGCACTCTCTGAGCAGTTTACAATGTGAGCATATTGCCTCCAACAATCTCGGTCCTCATTTTACCGACCTCAGAACGGAAGGCTCAGTCAACCTTGAGCGGTCAAGATCGAACTCCTGTCTGTGGGTAAAGACTGAAGCACTGCATTCTAACCATTGCGCCACCATGACTCCGCACCCTCCCTAAGGTGAGATTGGCTACAACCCTGATTTTCCAGAAATCCCTTAAAATGTGGTTCTGTCAGCAGGTTTGGAGGTCCCATATAAGTGGAGAGCCCATGAAATTACTACGTTGAATATAAGATCTGAAAGGTATTTTCCTGTGGTTGTTTTAATTGCTTCATATTTTTTAAAGTTTTATTTTTAATCGTTCAGTTTTATTATTTGCTGCATTGAGTCATATTTGTGTGTCTGGTAAATAAATAAGAAAATGTGATACAGCATTCACCAAGATAGTCCTCCACTCCCCATTTTCATTGAAACTGGCCAAATCAAAAGATGGAGACTATGGAGGAACCTTCAAAAGATGGAACTGATTTTCTAGTGCAGGTGTTTACATTTGTCTGTATTAGCTTGTTCCCTAATTGGATAATACTGGTCTTGTCATCAAACTGAAGGACTTTCTAATTTGCTTATCTTCTGAATAGCTCATGATGCCAACTAGAGATATGCAACTCTTCCATACCCAATACAGTTAGTCTCAGTGATCTGTGTCCACAGTAAAGTATGCATGGCTTAGGCATAGACTGAAACACTATTTTGTGGGGAGAGCAGGAAAAACCCATTGATGATAGTGGCAATGTTCACTGACTAAGAAAACAGTTTGGGGGAAAATCAAGGTGATAGGCAAGCTACTGGGTAGCTGCCACTATCAAGGTCCTTGACTTCAGGCATAAGGATTCTTTTACCAACTACTTGTCCCCAAATTGTTCCCAATACCTTCCTTTCTCCACTTTACCTTATGCCATGCTTGAAATCAAGGATAGTAGTGGCAACTAAGGAGAGGCACAGAAAAAAATGGGACTTGGTCAATGCTTTGGCTTCAAGCACAGCAAATCCAACTGGCCCACCATCCTTAATCTTTCCAAGACTTTCCATTCCTATCTCCTTTTAGCCATTACAGTACTGATGTCCTTTCTTTCAAGTGCAGCATAAGAGAGGTACTAGATATATTGATTTTAAAAGTATATTCCATTAGAGATGGTGCCACTGATGGCCACCTCGGTGAAATGCTCTCTAGTAGTTCTGATGTTTTCTATTCTATGACCTGCTACTTGCTGTTCTATGACCTATTACTTGCTGTTTATATGTACACTGTCAGCTTATCCATTGGAGACAAATTCCTTGTGTATCTAATCACACTTGGCCAATAAAGAATTCAATTCAATTCAATTCAATTCTCTTCTCTTCTCCTCTTTTCTCTTCTAATTACGATTATCTTCTAATTCCGATTCTATTCCTATTCTATCCTACCCTATTATTTCGCCTGATACCAAATTTGGACATTACTAAAATAATGGTCTGATGGTGGGGTCTCATCCCTACCAAACTGAAATTGAAATTACATTTTTAAAAATTAGGCATAATTCCAAGATTTATGAACAAAAAGATACCACAATTTGCCAAGTTACATATTCACAGCCATAAGGATAAACCTATCATAAGATTGGAAAAGAGATATGCTACCAGCAGTGGACTAGAAACTTAAGCTTGGAGAACATGAAGCATGGCAAACTTAACAGCCTAATGCACAGCAGACATTTTATTAAATTTAAGCAATAATGGCAACACAAACTTTAGCATTTAGAATATGGCTTTTAAAGGGAAAAAGAATTGACAAAAAACTGATATAAGAAACATATGAAAAGAATTAACTGTTTATAAAAATACAACAAGGGGAGAGTTAGAAACAAAATATTTTCCTATAGTTTTTCCTAGTTTTTCTTCTTTCTCTACTGGGAGAAGGGGAAAGGTAATATATATTTAAACAATAAAATAGTAGAGATGTTGGCATTCAGTTCAGAGATTCGAAAAGATTTTTAAAATCCTTTCCCTTTTTATTCTGTTTTCATGGTTAATTTTTAATTAATGATATATTGAGCATTAATGGTGTAACTTTTGTAGCTTCTTTGTCACTTATTAAAGTGATATTATATCTTTGTATCATTTTCCCTCTTTTTTTTTTGCTTTTTTAAAAAATAAATGATTCCTATCTGTTCTCCCCAAAATAAGTCACTTGTAATCTTACATAAAGCAAGCAGGAGAATGTTTCAAGAATATAACAGTGGAATACTTTTGTAATGGCTTTTCATCTTTCTTACATAATCAGAAATATTTATATTCTTGCATGACTGGTTATTTGTTCCAGCTGAGCATGCTGAGAAGTCTGACAAAAGCTAACAATTATATTTCTTGATTTAAAAATAAATGTTAGCCAAAATGGTACAAACAGTAGGGTAATATTAGAACAGTTGTAGATGTACACAAATACATGGGTATTATTAATACCTGTAATACCTTATCCTTAAAATCTGTACTGCATGAGGCTCAGAATCAAAAGCTGTGTCTTTCCACAGAACATCTGGTTTAACCTGCTGAAAATAGAACAAATCAAATGTTAACTGCTTTGCATATTTGCCACCATTAATGAAATAGTTTATCATATACTACAATGCATGTACACAGAATTATTGCGTATCAAATTATATATAAGGCAATGAAGTCACACAATTTCCTGTACAAAAGGGTAGTTCTACAATGTTTGCATGGATCACTGTTGGGAACTAAAATATTTCTGACTGTGTACCGGTTAAAGTTATTAAACTGCAAAAAAAATGGTGTTACAATTTACAATCAATCGCATATAACTGATTCCAATTCAGTTTCAAGGGCTCAGGAATTCTGGGAGTTGAAGTCCTTACGAGTCATAAAAGAGCCAAGGTTGCCTACCCCTGGGCTAGTCACTTCAGCAAGTTGCAGACAGCTTCACAAAGTAACAGACTAAATATATGTACCTTAGCTATATCAAAATGTAAATACAAATATTTAAAGCATAAGAGAACCAAAAGGAAAAAGGTATTTTCCTCTCTATGGGAAAGCAACTTAGGAAAGACTATTGCCATCTACTTTAC